TGTGGTAAGTTAAAGTGTTGTCATCAAAGACAATGCTGTGCATGTCTTATACAGGAATACATAAGGAAACATTGTAATGCTTTGTTCCTAAAATCAGCAGATGAAGTTTGCTCAATATGGAAACACATCGGGACAGTAAAACGGTTGCCCTTATCATTCTTCCTTCAGCCTGTAATATTTTGATTTCTTTCAAAAAATAGTTAGATTGACTTCAAGTCAATGTAATCCTGGTGTGACTTACTAACAGTGCAGAATATGGAACAAGTTTTTATGGATAACAACTTCTTTATTTCGTGAGTGCGACGTTTCGATACAGATTCTTGTACCGTTGTCAAGCAAGAGTAATATTGCAGAGTAATAGTAACAGTGCAGAGTTACATCCCTTAAACGTACCAGGATCTGGTGATCGTGATTCGAATTCTAGGTTTTCCCCAATAATGATCCTTTCACCAAAGTGACACGGTAACTTTTTAGGCCTGCATCTCAGTTGGTTCTCCTCTCACACGCAATGACAGACTTACATACTGTATTAAGTCATATACATGAGTTAAATACATTTAATAGTCTGTTTGTTTAGCCTAAGCAAACAATTTTGCATTGTACTTCAACCATATCCTGAGCGCAATGATTCATGAAATAATGGTGTATCAACACATGTCATCATATAATAACGAGAAAATATCTCCGGGCAATTGGCATGTAATCAGCTTTACGTGTATTTGTAGCGCGGGATTAGTAACACAATGCATAAGCGCCTCCTAATACGTGGTAAGGAGCCTTGCTGTGCATAACGGCCTGGTGATGCAACCGCGCCTGTTCAAGAGCCGGGTTACAGGGTACTAATACACGTTCTTTGAGTTGTCAACACATTATCGCATTCTCACATAGCTAGTCTATATATAATGATTGTCGGCGTGACGAGCGAACTCTTTAACCACTAGGCTACATCACCACCAATTCTCTGGGTCTGTTGCGCCAGCGTTAACGCTCCGTCAGTGTCGGAGCGTTAGCGCAGGCGCAACAGACCCAGGGAACCAGGCTGTGTCGGAGCGTAGCGCAGGCGCAACAGACCCAGGGAACCAGGATGCACCTCTGTACCCATGAAAAAAGCCACAAAACCAAATTATTTGTAGTGTGAGTGAGTGAGTTTAGTTTTACGCCGCACTCAGCAATATTCCAGCTATATGGCGGATGTCAGTAAATAATCGAGTCTGGACCAGAACATCCAGTGATCAACAGCATGAGCATCGATCTGCGCAAATGGGAAATGATTTGCAATTGAAGTGATGCATGTATTGTACATGTGCAATGCAGGTGCAAGCTGTGGCAGTGCAGTTCAGCATGACGCCGTCATATACGGCGATCCAACTCGCCCCATGTTCTGATATCACATACCCAGGTTCACGCGACGGCCTGTACGTTGTTGTTAATTTATGACGCTGATGTTACATGTGTGCCATATACAGTCAAGCAGTTTATGTGTTAAGATATGACGTGGGGTGGTGGGGTAGCTTAGTGGTTAAGGCGTTCGCTCGTCACGACGAAGATCCGGGTTCGATTCCCACTTGAGTACAATGCGTGAAGCCCATTTCTGGTGGAATATTGCTGGAATATTGCTGAAAGCGGCGGAAAGCCAAACTCACTCACTCACTAAGATATGATGTTAATATGGCTCATAATTCGTCCGTAGGATTTATCGCAATAGCGCTAGGCCGCAAGTTGTCTTTCTCTCGTTCCAGGTTACTTCTGCCACTGTTCGAAGCTCTTGCCCACCTCATTACGCTTCCACCAGTAACCCTTTCTACTGCAGTAATAGCCAGCAGTATGTACGGCAAAACGTTCACGGCGACGTCTGTACACCCAGGCACTCTCAGGTCAGAAATCGTGACTTATTGCTGAACTTAATATTTATCCTCGTCGTATTACACGCATTCTTGAAACCAGTAACAGCAGCAGACTACGTTGGCATGTGAAAGCAACATCTCCTACCGGCCGCCTGGCTTGGAGACCTGCCTTATGAGGGTACGATTCGCAATCCTGTATTAAATGACGAAGCAGTAGGAAGCGGCCCTGGAAATCACCCATTGAGTACCGAAACCAATACCAATGGATGCATTGACTAACAAGAGAACAGCTGAAAGCATCCCCACTGATCCCAAGTGTCCGACTTTTTCTGCTTTTAAATGACAATGTAAATGTTTTTGAAATAAAACTCATTCCGAGTATGTACTTAAAATGTTTATTAATGCAAACTTGTTCTCGTCACTATATGGCTGGAATAATGCCGATGTGACGCAAAACCCAACTCAACTCAACCAAGTGTCCGACAACGTTGTAAATTCAGCTTCGGTGATAACAGTGGCGATAGAATTCGCAGTTGAAAGAGGCTCACGGGCATCGTTTCCTCCTTTTTAACCGAGGACCCCCTACATTTTGAGGCCTATTCACGATGTTGTCTTTGTTTCCTGTCTTTAGGGGGAGGTCAGAAAGTAATCAGCTTGTACCGGTCAAGCCAGACAAACCAGCTGAGTTGCAGCATCGTCCACATCATGTATTGTCACCATCCGATGAACTCATCATGGGACAGTCACGTATCAGCGACCATGAACGGTGCCAGCGAACAGGAACGGGGTCATTTTGACGACATCAACTATACACTGCATGCTCTGATGCTCTGTTTCATTCCCGTGCCACATTTACAGTCCCGAACATACACCGATAAATGGCATGTCGTACAATCCAATCTTTATTACCTTTCTGAACTTTCGCTGAAACAGAAATACGGTTAAGGCTAATTACTCTGCAGTTATAATGGATAAAGTACTGAATTCTATATGGGAAATTTGTTTCGAATGAACGCATGCCTCTGAATTCACTCTTATCAGTAACCAAAAGCAGCAAATATATGCCTCGTTACATGCTCCTTCTACATTTTGAATCACTGTGTTTTTAAATTGTCGTTGTCTCACATCTCTCGGATTGATTCGTCTTAATAAGGATGATATGGAGAACTTAGAAGTGTAAATATATCGTTGTGGGTAGAGTAAACGACAAAATACATGAATTATTTACTTAGCTTGACAATAACATGAAGGTGACTTTAGTTTTTATTTCGAAGTGTTTAAAAACATATCAGACTTAGAGCTGGGACACCCTCACATGGTCCACCTTCATGCCTAGCTGTAGCCAGCCAGATTCATACTTTAATATAAAAAACAACAACAAAAATGTGAAATGTCACCGCGTTTGGTAATAAAAGCACCAAAACACTTTCCATATTCAAAAGAAATTTCTCCGCACGGCGGAATGTTTTGCAAGATTCGGACTATTACGGAAGCCTTTTATGGCCATTTGTTTTGGGGTTTTTTTCTTTAAATTTCAAGATAGTGATAATATGTTGATATTTCTGCATAGTATCCTGAAATTTCCAGAAAAAACAACAACATAAAAACCCCACCAGAATGGCCCTAAAAGGCTTTCTCCCCACACACACACACCACCATCCCATCCCAAACACATGATAAGGCATGTCAATTGTTCACATGAAAAACAAGAACAAACAGGAGAAAGTATATGATGCAAGTGAAAAACAATGAATTGCGACATCGTCTACATTTGAAAACGTTTCCACGTGTCTGGCATAATACGTTTTGGATACTGTAACTCTGATCTAACAACAAGTCAGTCATCGTTTAGCAAAAATACATGGAGAATGATCAAAAAGCGCTTCCCCTGACATATGTCATCGTATCGCAATTGCGTAGAACGATGCTCATGCTGTTGATCACTGGATTGTCTGGTCCAGACTCGATTATTTACAGACCGTCGCCAAACAGATGGAATAATGCTGGATGCGGTGTAAAACTAAATTCACTCACTCACTCAACCCACATCGCAAACGTATCGGCGGATCAGCCTCGGCGACTTGGTTGATGCACGTTATATACAGCAGGACTACTGCAACGTTAAACACGTACTCTGTTGACGCTGTCGTTGTCGACACAGCTGGCCATGCCTACATCATACACATACATCTTACAGTGTATTTAATCGATCAATGTGTTCAGATTCTAATGAAAATTCCGTTGTTTAGTTAATATCCTTGATGCGTTGTGTAAAATTAGCATATATATGAATAGTTTTAATTTGTTATTGGTTGATTGGCCAAGTGAAACTAAAAAAATATTTTTGAATGACATTCAGAAGTGATACACATACCAGGGGGAATTTTATGGATGTCAATGTATGTAATATGATGAATATATTTCGGAGTATATTCTTATTCCTTCACCTGGTGACAATGTTCGACTTTTACCATATGATCCCGTGTTTATAGGAGATGTTTTGACTTACATTTGCATGTGTTTTAGACGGGTGCCAACGATGGGGCGTACGCGTGATACACCATGGCAACCTGTTCATCACTATTTGAAATTGAGTAGATCTAATAGACAGACATGCTTGAGATGTAATCAGAATAAAGTGCAATGAATTCTGCCTGCATTTAAGAATAGATAAATGTTATACACACGAACGCCCTCCTGTACAGCGCACCCCGCGTCTTTGGTGGGCGGGGGCGATTGTCCTTTTCAGATCCAAGTTGATTTGCCAAATTATGTTTGAATGTTTGTTATTTGGATTTACAGGATTCTGGCAATCAAATTCTCAATGTTTGTTTCAGAAATCACACCGGTTTTTTATCACGTCTGATCTGTCAACATGATGTTTATGTATTTTCTTGTGTGTTTTTTCGTAATAACCACCAGTATTGCTCAACGTATCGCCACACACGACCACATGCCTCCACAAAAGACATCCGACACCTTTTTCAGTTGTCCGACTTCCCCCGCGACCACGTCAAAAGCTGTTGGTCTCATAGCTTGTAATCCCAACAGGTTTCGTTGTCAAATGCGGACGTTTGCTCCCAACGAGAGTCATCCGTGCATGGCATCGACCGCCCAGCATTGCTGCCAGGGCGGATACTATTTCACAGGGAACATATGTATCGGTCACAATAGTTCTGTGTATCGCTGAGCACAAATAACAGAGGAATATTAACAGTACAGCTATGTCACGGACAGGATACCTGTATGGCATGTGTACTCGCGATTTCTAATGGATTATATCATCCTTTGAAAGCATCTTGTAGGATTGTCTGTCATTAGGTAAGTGTCAATGTTTGAAGTCAGTGTATTTTGACAGGTGCGAGGGTTTATTGGGCTCATCATGGATGTTGAGAAGAGCCAGCGTTTGTACTAGCTGTACACTGAAGGCTTCACTGCCGGAGGGTAAATCGATGGATAAATTCCAGTATACCTGACTGTCTACGCAAAGACAATTTGAAAACAGTTGTATCCACTCTAAATTGATATTTGATATTAGTGCTTTGGTAGATCTAGTTGGTAAACTGGCGGAGCGCCAGGTTTCACATATGAATGATGGAGGATGTCTCTTTGGTCTAACATTTCGATATCTGCACGCGACAAATTCATTCAAACGGCCTGCTCCAGGATTCAGTAACACCTGCCAGATGATCACTGTCACACAAAACGCAGATGCATCAACTGGGGACACTGGTCTGAAGCGAAACTCTCACTGTCATAGAGGTGTTGATTTCAATGGCCATTTGTTGGGCTCCGGAGCTATCAGAATGCCAGGATAAAATCTGCTAGGCTAGTCAGGGTCACTTACTGGTAGACCTATCTACTTGTCATTTACGGAACAGTAATGATCAACAGCTGAAGTGTTCATAGGGCTCACAGAAAATTCAGATTCCTAGTATTTGGAAAAGGTATGTAATACCTACTACATCTAATGAAGATAAGGACCAGTGACTTATATGCAACAGTTCAAGTTCTAATGATATCATTGATACAATTATGGGATGTAGATGTGAAAATAACATCATCAGTAACCATTTTGGGGGAAAAAATATAGAAGATTTTATTTTGAAATCCGATTTCTGTTTAAATGGAAATATATAGCATGTTAATAGGAGTGAGAACCAATTTGTGGTGATTCACCACAATTACAATTTGTGACACATTGCTTCAAATGACAGGAAGTGATTGTATGTGCACATGTGAACTTCAGTTTATTTGTTTCCATCATTGACAATATCAGAAGAGTGTAAAGATCATTGGAACTTCAATTTATTAGTTTCCATCATAAAGGATGTAATGTTCAGATGATATATTGAATTTATGTAATACAACCAGAAAAAAATCTATATGTGTAGGTAAACAAAACTGTGTCGTTACATGGAAATAAGTGCGGCGTGGTGTATTGCTGTAGAATGGGCTGATATGATCACCAGTTGTATCTTTATAGGCATGCTACTCCATTACATCCATGAATAATAGTGCTACACACGAGATATAGGCAGCCGGTCGTATTATATCTGGTATTTTCATAGGCCCACTCGGCGGCTGATATTCAGGCTCAAATCTGCTGGAAAAATTGCTCATTTTGAACGAAAAATTCCTACTTCATGTTATTGTAGTTGTAACAAATGTTACGGCGTTGCTGAGGCCACTTGTGTTTCACTGTTATCAAGGCCAGTAAATTGAGTTTAGTTTTACGCCGCTTTTAGCAATATTCAATCAATGTCACAGCAGGGGACACCAGACTGTACCCATGTGGGAACTAAACCTCAGCACAAGGAGCAAGTACTCTAACCACTTGGCTCTTCCACCACCCTGGGGCCAGTGAAGTGTAATGCTCTGTTTTCCATTAGAATGTAGATCAGTGTCTAATTACAGTGTTAAATACACTGGATTTATGAAAATAAAACACTTCTGGTGAAATCACAATTTTGAAAAAGAGAGTTATTTTGCACAATTTGCCTGCAAGTGCAAATAGCATATATATAGTTTGGAACCGTAGCTGTTCTCTGTCAGCCACAGAAATTACTCTGCTAGTTCCAGGTTAGTTGAGAATGTTCTCTCCCATATAATAATCACAAGTAATATTGAACTAATCAGAAAAGAAATATTGAATTAATGAATTAATGAATAACTGGATTTAGCTCATAAAAGTTGTGTTCTAGAAGACAGTTAATTTCAATATAGGGTGGAAGGTGGGCTTTTGTCTTTGTAAAAATACCTGACAATGTTTGAGTGGAAAGTGTATGGTTTTGAATTTGTACCTTGCCTTGTCATGAACTGCTCCTCAAATAATTGTCAGTTTCGAAATAGAAGTTTCAGACCCGTGAAGGTCAGGATTAGAATTGATCTACAGTAACCCATGCTTGTCGTAAGAGGCGACTAACGGGATTGGGTGGTCAGGCTCGCTGACTTTGTTGACACATGTCATCGTATCCAAATTGCGTAGATTGATTCTCATGCTGTTGATCACTGGATTGTCTGGTCCAGACTCGATTATTTACCGACCGCCTCCATATAGCTGGAATATTGCTGAGTATGGCATAAAACTGAACTCACTCACTCACTTAAGTTTCAGGTAATCAGACCTTTACTTCTGTTTAAACCTTTTTGTTAAGGTTTGTGAAAACACTTTAATTTTGAATGTTGTTGCCTCTGACACTTTGATTGATTTAGACAGTAATTTGTTAATATGGGATTTCAGTAGGAAGGATGCTGTTCGCATGTACAGAAGTTCATGGCGAGCACCATACTCCCTACTAATGATGTAGAGATGTGTGGAAGATTAACCCAAGGTCACATGGTTATGATGGTGCTTCTTTTAAAAAATCAACCACGACAACAGGAAATGTTAAACATAGGCACTGATAACTATAATTTAGTTAATGACAGAGGGCAGTTGGTTGAAACAAATCGACCTGGTGATTATCTGAGACTGACTGTAGCTCCATCACAGTGGATAATTTCGTCACTTCTTGACCTGACCCAGCATTCATTAGAGGCTTGGCATTGATTGAAGGAAGTCGGTATTCTGCTTGGTGAAATTGTGAAAGCATGGTCATATGGAATAATAAAGACTTTGTCATATATTTATATTCAATGAAACTGTTGTAATACAAACCCAGCGAAACTATTTTACCAGAATCAGGGGATTCTGTTATTATATAGAATCTGTAAAATCATTGTCATACAAATCTTGAAACAGTGAAACCCTAAGTGAAACTAATTAATTGACAGTCATACAGATTCTGAAACAATTGAAACCATTGTCATATACACTGATATAGATTCAGTGAAACTATTGTATATAATATATAACCAGTAAAACCATTGTCATACAGATTCTGAAACAGTGAAACTATTGTCATATATTCACTATTGTCATATTCATATAGATTCAGTGAAACTATTGTCATATAGATCTGAAACAGTAAAGTGATATTGATTCAGATAAACCATTGTCATACATAATCAGTAAAAAACCATTTATACAGCTTCTGAAACAGTGTAAAACCATTGTCATATACACTGATATTGATTCAGTGGAACTATTGACATATAATCAGTAAAACCATTGTCATACAGATTCTGAAAAAGTGAAACCATTGTCTTTGATTCAGTGAAACTATTGTCATATATAATCAGTAAAACCACTGTCATACAGATTCTGAAATAGTCGCACATGTAGATTCAGTGAAACCATTGACATACAGATTCAGAACACTATGTCATTGACCCAGTATATCGATCATTTCATAGGTGATGGCTTTCAGCTCTGAGCTCCTTCAGGCCCTACATGAATGGATATATATATATTTGCAATACTGCTTATCAAGTATTGACATTTGTAATATATTGTGACAGTTTTATTGAAGTCCTGCCATATGTGACCCAAAGTAAGAACAGAGCTACAGATAACTTTTTGAGTCAGTGAGTGATGTACTGTCTTGTGTTCCTCTCAATTGGATATCCTAATTTTCGTTTGAGTAACCAAATAAATTGTACCCACCTCACTCAAACTCAGTTGGGTTGTAATTGTAAAAAGTAAAAAAAACCTTTTAATGTAGGTTTACATGTTTGTTATTTATATTTGATCTGTAATATAAAAAAAACGATAAGAAAAGACTGCAAGTTGCAAAGTTCATATGCTGCAATAGAACCTCTTAATATACCATTGATATTTTATCAATTTTGTGTGTATGCATGAAAGATAAAATTTATTGAATATTTACCAGAATTCAAGCATGCTTGTACACAATGGGCTTAATAGGAATTGAGTTTTCACATAAATATTTGCGTAATTTATGCAGATGCGCAGCTTATCTGTACCTCTGCAGAACCTCAACCATCAATACTATTTATCATATCGTAGCAGTATGATACAAGTTGTGAAACGGTAATCTAGAAGAATACGTGATCCACCATACTAAATAGTTTCACTACGAACTACTATACAAAATAAATATTTGTAACATTCTTGATGAAAGAATAACCCTATCTAAACAGGGATAAATGTGAGCTTGAAATGCTACCGTCATCCTTCTTACCAGCTGTTTGGGATCCCTTGGCTTTTGCATCTCAAGGCCGTAATTAAATCGTATCATTACAATTGTTAAAGCCTCTTTCTCGTTATCATGGTGTTTTGTCTGTGTCAGCTCCACATAATTGTAATATTAGTTACTACTATAATTAACGTAATAAATTCGACAAGGAAATTTGAAATTCCAATTTGGGAATTTTTGCTGACATTTGCTGCGGATCTGATGACAGATGTCTGCATCTGCGCCACTACACATAATGCCCTTGTCATGAAGTCATGAAGTGCCAGTTGGTTGACACATGTCATCGCATCCCAATTACATAGATGGATGCTCATGATGTCAGTCACTGGATTGTCTGATCCATACCGATTATTTACAGACATCCGCCGGAAATTGCTGGAAATTGCTGAGTGCATCATTAAACAACAACCAATCAATCAATCCTGATATCTGAATGTTTTCCCTTAGTCAGATTTGTAGTCACGATATGGCTGAAATACTGCCAATATGACTTTAAATCTTAACTCACTCACTTAGTCAGATTTAAGAAAAAGGGGATAACCTCGGTGCCACAGAATAGTCAACAAGCAAACAAATCATGAAGTGCGAAGGATGCTGTTAAAGGTGTCTGAAAAAGGGGGGTTATGTGCATCCCCACCCCTCCTCTGAATCTATTAGTTATTGTGATGCCAAACACAATCATGACAAGTGGATTACCATTCCTTGTTCCCTAGGGAACTG